GCCTCTATAGACTTTTCTGATCAAGAATTTACAAGACTCATTGCCCTCTCCTCATCTAGGCTAAATGGGCAACCCCTTATGATGAGATTATGTCCTCTGGTCCTAGACCAGCCTACAAGGGAAAAAAAAATCTTTTTGCATCTACTCTGTCAAACATATTTTTGCCCATAATAATCAATAATGTTGCCTCTCATTCTTCTAATCTCCAATAAGTATAAGCTAAGTCAGATAGTTCCTCCATGTCTGGGATCAACCAAATGAAACTACTCTGGACTGCCTCCAATGCCTATATATTTAGATAATGAGACCAGAACTATTTGCAGTGTTCCAGATGTGGTCTAACTAGTGCATTGTATGGTTTTAGCAAGACTTCCATATTTCTACACTCCATTCCCTTTGAAATTAAGGCTAACATTTCATTTCACCTGCTGAACTTGTATGTAGTTTTCTGTGATTTATGCATGACTCTCAAACTGCAGAAAAGATTTACAAAGAATGCTGCTGGGTTTGGAGGTTTGAGCTGTAGGAAGAGACTGAACAGGCTGGGGCAATTTTTCCTGGAGCATCAGAGGCTAAGGAGAAACCTTATAGAGGTTTATAAAATCATGAAGGACATGGATAGGGTGAATAGCCAAGGTCATTTTCCCCAAGGTAGTGGAGTCAAAAACTAGACGTTATTTTAAGGTGAGGGGAAAGATTTAAAACGGACCTAAGGGATAACTTCTTCACAGCATGGTGCATATATGGAATGAGCTGCCAGACAAAGTAGTGCAGGCTGATACAATTACATCTAAACGGCATCTGGATGGGAATATGAAGGGTTTAGAGTGATATAGGCCAAACGCAGGCAAACATGACTAGACTAATTTACAATATCTGGTCAGCATGGACAAGTTGGACCAAATGGTCTGTTTCCATGCTGTGCTGTCGCTTTCTGCAAACTTTCTCAGATCTTCCTAACATGTTTAACCTCACATTTTCCCACATTATATTCTATCTACCACATTTTGTGTAATCTGCAAACTTCATTATAGCTCATTCACTTTCTGCATCCAAGTCATGTATATCTTGTAAATAATTGTGACCCTGGCACTCCACTAATTACAGATTACCACCTGAAAATGTACTCTTATCCTAATTCTCCTTTTATTCAGCCAATCCTCTAACCATGCAAATATCATGTGGCAATTTAGCAAATGCTTCTGGAAACCAATACAACTTTGCAGGATATTGGGTCTTAATGAGGTAAAAGAGGTTCATCAAATGAAGACACATGGATAGAACTCAAAAACAAAAAGGATGAGTCTCATTGCTTGGAGTGTAATTTGAGAAATAAAAGAGCAGATATGTAGTCAAATTTCAGATAAGTATAATGGTAATAGGGTAATATTAATGGGAATATTTCAATTTCCCCAACTTTAATTGTAGTAATCAGTGTATGAAAAGTTTAAAGGAAACATAATTCTTAAAATCCATCTAGAATTTTTAAGCCAGTATGTAGAAATCCCTACAAGGGAGTGGATGATACTAGACTTAATTTTAGGTAATTTAAGTCAGGCAAATTGAAGTGTTAGTGAGGGAAGAACTTTTCACGTCCTTCTTGGTTAGCTGTGATCGTATGGTTTTTGGTAGCTAGATGAATGTCAGGTTCTTTCTTGAGTTTTATTAGAACTTTACATACATAGCAGTTTCATTCAACCAAGTGGCTCACTAGTCTTTCAATGGGCAGTTAAGACTCAATCACATAGCTCTGGGAAGGGACAATGTAATCTACACCCAGATAAAGAAAAGATTTTCTCCCAATGGTGCCTGTGAACCAAAAGATTCTATTTCAAAATATGATCAGTTAATTTAATGGCTGTTCAGGTTATTCACTGCTGGAAAACAGCAAGGCAGAGCATACTTTAAATGGGGAGGGGTTGGGAAGCATTGATTATCAGAGGCCTGAGTATCCACATTTGAGTGACTAAAACTTCACATTCATGCACAGCAAGCAATTATGAAATACATATGCTGACTTTTATTGCAAGATTTGAACTCAGGAGTAAAGATGCATTGCTGCATTTCGAAATAGCCTTGTTGAGACACACCTGAGTATTTTGTAGGATTTCAATACCCTTGCCTAGGGCAAAATATACTTACCAGTGAGGGGGTTCACCAGACTAATCCCTGGGATGGTGGAATTGTATTATGAGAGAAGTTGGAAGAAACTAAGCTTGCATTCTCTTGTTTCAAAGCATGTGACTTCACTCAAATACAATGCTTACAGTCATGACAGGGTAGATATGTGGAGGACATTTCCCCTAGCTGGTAAGGGACCAGAGGGCACCAATTCAGAATAAGGAATCAGCCATTTAAATCTAAGATAAAAAGGAATTTCTTCACTCAAAAGCTTTGGAATTCTCTACCCCGTGTTGAACCTGTTATTGAATGTGTTCAAGGCATAAATTGTTTCTGGATACTAGTAACATGAAGGAATATGGTGGGAGGGGGTGTGGAAATGGTAGAGACGTAAACGATCAGCTCAAATGTCAAAGCACATTCCATGAACCATATGGCCTACTATTGAGTTTTCATTATGGACTCTACCTTTCATCATTTGAATTTAAAAGCCTTCAGTTACCTTGGTCAGTTTTGTGTTTATCTCCAGAACATTAAGTCAGGATTCCAAATTACTGATCTAATGATATTAGAAAGGAGCAATAACACTAAGTACGGTGATCAGATCTGGGTGCAATACTCAAGTTGAGACCGAACCAGAGTTTTATAAAGGTTCGGCAATAACTCACTTTACCAGGTTCAAAATGCCACAAGCTTTGATAACCGTTCTCTTGAAGGGCTGTGCTGCTTTTAAAGATCTCTGTACATGAACTCTTCAGTTCCTGTCCCTGCAATGGCATCAAATCTAAATTACAAAACTGTAAGAAATAGGGACACGAATAGGGCATTTAGCCCCTCAAGGCTAGTCTACCATTCAACAGCATCATGACTGATTCAAAACTTGCATCCACTTTCCAGCCCTTTCCTCATAACCGTCAATTCCCCTACTGATCAATAATCTATCTCAGCTTTAAAACAAGCAAACTTTCCCCACAACTTTGTTCCGAAGTCTCTCAACACTCAGAAGAATTTCCTCCTCATTTCAGTCTTAAATTAGCACCCTTTCATTCTGAGACTACACACTGATCCTATACTCTCCCATGAGGGACATTTCCTTCTGAGCATTTATCCTGACAAGTCCCTTGAGTCCTATATGTTTCAATGAGATTATCCTCTCATTCTTCTAAACTCCAGTCATAACCTATTTACCTTTTACTCATAAGGCCAATCCTTCCATACCAGGGCTCATCTTAGTGAACCTTTTCTGAACTGTCTCCTGTAAAATAATGTAATTTCTTAAATAAAGGGAACCAAAACTGCTCTCAATATTCCAGACATGGTCTCACCAGCACCTTGTAGAGTTGTCTTGAGACTTCCCTAAATCTTATACTCCATACTCCCTTGAAATAAGGGCCAACATTCCATTTGCTTCCTGCTTAAAGTTCTGGAGATAAACACAAAACTGACCAAGGTAACTGAAGGCATTTAAATTCAAATAATGACAAGTCCATAATGAAAACTCAATAGTATGCCATATGGTTCATGGAATGTGCTCTGACATTTGAGCTGATCATTTATGTCTCTACCATGTCTCTCCACCAACACCCCCCCCCCCCATATTTGATGATGTTACTAGCATCCAGAAACATACAAATACAGTACCTGAAGTCCCTTTGTTACAGCTTTCTGCAATTTTTCTCCATTTAGATATCAAGTTTTCCAACACCATCCCTTCTGCAACTTCTTTATATTAAATTTCATCTGACACTAGGCTGTAGATTCTACAAACCTAACCAAGTCCAACTACAGTCAAATGGCATTTTTTTTCATGAAGCAGTTGTCTGGATTTGGTGATGGGGGAAGAAAAACCTGTTCATTTGTGACTAAGAGCACATCTGAATATTTTTTATAAAATGAAATGGTGGTCCGAGTACTGACTCTTAGGCAACAGCAGTTTGCCGTACTCCAGTTCGCCCTTAGGTCATCTTTTACACCAAGGTGACAGTGACTTGAATCTGCGTCTCAATTTTGTTAAGCAACCTTTTACATGGCACTTTGTCAAAAATAGTGGATACATTAGTTGTAATCTTTGAGGATGTAATAAGTAAAATGGATAAGGCAGAATGAGATATGGTGTATTTGGGTTACAAAAGGAATATAAGGCATCACACAAGGTTTCTACAAAAGAAATGATGTTGGGAGCGATATATCAGCATAAAGGATTAGCTAACCACAGATTTTAAAAAAATATTCCCTGGTTGATTAACTGTAACTAATAGCTGCTGCAGGGATCAGTGCTCAAGTTTCAACTAAGTACAAACTATGTAACTTGCAAAAAGGACCACCAACTACCTTGTAGCCATATTTGCTGTTGACACAAGGATAGGAAAGCAAATTCTGAAGTTAGTCTTTAAAGATATATAGACAAAGCAGTGAATAAGTAAAAAATTACGCAACGTAATCGTCTCTATTCTGCCTGCACTTAAGGAAGGACAAATTTGGTTGGGGGGTGGGAATGGTCTGCTGCAACTTATGAATTTGAATCTTACTTCCCCGTGAAGAACACCCAATACGTACAAAGAACTAGTTTACAGCTTTCTCAGGAGTTTTAATGTCAGTATTGCAAAGGTGAACTTGTACTGTATCTCAGAAGGTTTGGGTAACAATTCTGGCAATCTTCCTCACTGTTATGTCAGTAGAGGGAGCCAAATGATCATCATAGATACAGTAATAGTTACTCATCATGGTCTGTAGTCCATCAAGGTTTTGGTAAATTTTAAATGACACTACAACCTTATTAACAAAGAATTATCTTGTGTTGATAGAATAAATTGTACGTCACTTCCAAGATTAATACCACAAACAGCATAACCTCAGTGAAAAGAATCTGAGTCACAAAATTAAATTTTCCTTTTTATTTATTTATGAAATATATCACTTTCCTCGGAAATAATTGTCAATGACATCCTTGGCTTGAGAGTCTTTCCCATAATCCTAAAAAAAAATCACACTATGTGTTAATGTGTGTCAGATTAAATCTTTTAACAATCTCCAATTTGGAAGAATTAAAACAATTCTCTATGAATGAACAGTAGTTCTTTCATTTAAGTCAAGTTTGTTAGACTAAATTACATAGTATAAAATACACAGACATAGGCCCAAAAACTAAGAGTACCTCCATGTTTCTCTATGAATAAGCTTAACCCTTAATTGAAGTAACTCACCTTGACAACAACACAGCTACAGCCTACAACCTTGCGGGGCTTCCCTTCTCGGTCTATTTTGCAAAGACCTACCCATTCACCAAGCTTCTTGTTGTCATCAACCTGCAATGTACAAAAAGGCAGCTGTGCAGCATCTGACAAACACTACCAAAGTTTCACCAACATATGGCATGAAAAATACTGCATCTCAGACTCTTTTTGGGTAACAATTCTGGCATTTTTCTTCATTCGATTTCTGGTGAGGGAGCCAAGTGGTCATCACAGATACAGTCTGGTCAAACCTTTCTAAATCCAACACAGTATATATATTTTTACACACACATGTATATGTCAGTCACATCTACATTCATTCATTGTTCATAAAACTAGAGATAAATGCCTCAACAGTACAACCCTATTATCCCCCTCGAGGTAGTGACTCTTTGGGTAAAGTTTTACAAACATCCTCTTGTTTCATGTCCCAGCTGTCAGGAGCAAAGACAGCTTCAACATCAGTTTAGGAATTCTAGGATGTATATTGTAAGCTAGGCCAGCATTCATTGCCCATCACTAATTACTCGAGAAGATGGTAGTGAGCATGGAGACGTTAGGCTTACATCTGTAGTTTAGAAGAGTAAGAAGTAATTTGATTGAAACGCAAGATCCTGAGGCGGGGCATGACAGGGTAGATGAGGAGAGGACATCTCCTCATCGGGGAAAACCTAGAATTGGGACATGTTAAAAAAAAAAGTTACCCACTTAAAACAGTAAGTTATGTTTTTGCTCTCAAGAATGGAGAATCTTGGGAACTTTTCTCGAAAAAAGTGGAAACATAACTTGTAAATATTTTTGAGGCTGAACTACAGATTTTTTGCTAAACAAGGGGATGAAAGAACAGAAAAACTATGGAGTAGGAATGCACAAATTAGTTGTTGAGCTTGCTCCACTATTCAATATAATCATGACTGATCTCATCTGTCTCAACTCCACTTTTCTGCCATAACCCCTCAACCCATTATAAATTGTACAAAAGGTAGTCGGGAGTAGGCAAGAATGTGGGGCTGAGGTTACAAGCAGATCAGCCATGACTCCAATTATCCAGGTTTCCAAAACATCCACCAGCAATCATAACTAATGAACTATACAAAAAGACAGATTTTGATTTAGTGTTAGCAGTTTGTATGACAAAAGGATTGGCCATTAATAGGGTACACCTGATCTACAAAAATGAAATAATCACTGAATTGGTGCAAGGAGCCCAAGTCAATGAAAAATCAGGGAATTTGGAGCTGATTTTGTAGCTTCAGAATACAGTTCATTATTCTGGATTTTGATTTGTATAATACATTTTAAAATTATAAGAAGGCAATGGAACACAGCCTGGTCAGGATTCCAACAGTTCTTTGCTCAATGCAATACTTACCTTCATCAGGTGGATCCCATGTTCAGCACAGAGTGCTTCTACCAATTTAACATACTGTGCCTCATCACAATTGGCTGCCAGGACACACAAGTGAGCCTGTCGCCTGAGGGTTTAAAAGAAAATCACAAAATTACATTCAGCTATTTCTGGCAGTAGGCAACCACAATTTAATCCAAAATGATCAAATGAATAGACCAATTTCAAAAACTAAAGCAAATGCTATTTATAAACCACACACACACACACACAAGTTGAAAAATAAGCATAACGTTTATGCAAATGATTGGATAGACCACAAACATTTAGTCTGTTCTTGAGACAGACAGTATCCAGACAGGTCCAAGAAAGGCCCCTTACTAATTTGGAAGAGTATGACTGTAGATGTTCAACAGTAACAAACAAGATCTGTCTTTCTTATGCGGTGTGACACAGCTATGGCGAATCCTGAAACTGATTCATCGCCCAAGTTCATTATAACTTCAGATAGCACTTTCTAAACGCACAACCACTTCCATTTAGAAGGACAAGGGCAGCAAATATATGGGAACACCACTACCTTCAAGTTTCTCTCCAAGCCACTCACCATCCTGACTTTGAAATATTTTGCTGTTCGTCCACTGTCACGGAGTCAAAATCCTGGAATTCCATCCCAAATGGCATTGTGGGTCAACCCGCAGCAGGTGGATTGCAGCGCTTCAAGAAGGCAGCTCACCACCTTCTCAAGGGCAACTAGGGATGGGCGACAATGCTGTCATCCCACAATATAAAAATTCTTGCTTACTTGGTACATTTCTACCAACAGTAACCGGCCTTCAGTTGATCACGCAAGTGACCTCTGTGCAACAGTTACCAGCTGCCATACAGTGAAGCAATCAGGCATCCAAATGCACATTCAATAGGAGTTACTAACTCAAGTTCTTCCTGATATCCTGCCCTGCTCCCACAAAATGTTACACCTACATTCAGTGTAAGCTCAAGACTCAATAACAGCCGAATTTCACAATGAATTTAACAGTTTAAACGAGGAACTAACTTACAAGCACAGAATTGCATTCATACTACCGACTAAATACTCGATATTTTGACTATGTGTGGTTTCAGCAATTTGATTGTCAGTACACCGTAATGATTTTAGCAATAAGCTGTTAGAACAAAACTCATTTCATATCACAATCTTCCTTTTAACACCAATTCCAATAATTTACATGTACAATAGTTGTATTGGGTCATCTTCCGCTGCGTGTAACCAGGTGCAAATACTATTATTGCAAGTCAAAATTATTAGTCCCTTATGGAATTACTGAAAAGCTACTCACTTGTCCAGTACCTTGACAGCCTCCCGGAGACCACAACACAAGCCATCATGGATGTATGCAGTTTTCAACACTTCCTGAAGTGCAGTATTCACATCCATAACACCACCTGCTGTTATGCTGACAAAAAAGTTGAAATTATACATTTGCAGAATCCCACTACCTGCCAATATTCAACTTATATTAGATCAAGCAAAGCGGTCATCAATGTCTCTGAGCTACAAGTTGTCAGAAGAAATTTTTCACTCATTCTCAAGAGTGAAGGGGTATCCGACATAAAAGGTTCATCATTCCAACCATGTAGCTTAATTCAATTCGTACAACCAGTTATTCTTAACTTAGAATTCAACAATTATGATCAGCATTATAACAGGATTTTAAATTGATTTGACAAGGAACCACTTCAATTTATTTTTAAGCCTTTTTTAAAAAACCTGACCAATTGATGAGACTTGAAACTTTCAGAGCCGCACGTACACTTAGATCAATATGTTCGTTATTTAAAAAGTGCTTCTACTGGCAACAACTTTACATTTTCACCACTTTTTCACCGACAAAAGTAAGTTTGTCAATAATTCATACAAATCATTCCAGCCCATCACTGGGTCCAACCACGAACCTGCTAGCCTTTGGCAGGACAGATGTAACAATATCAAAATTTTGTTCTAACCTACAGATGCAAAAAGTACGGTTAAATGGATATTACTAATCTGACAGGCTCTGACTAGTGGAATGCCACAACGATCAGTTTGGAGACCTCAGCTAATTACAATTTATATCAATGATATAGGCAACAATGAATTAATGTACCTAAGTTTCCTTACAACACAAAACTAAACACTGAAGAGGACACTAAGGCTACAACAAGAATTAGATAGCTTCAGTGAGTGGGCATCAAGGTGACAGGTAGGAGATGGTATTTAGAAAGTATTCACTTGGTAGTAAGAACTGTAAAATAATATTATTTAAAAGGCCCAAAGACTGTTAAATGTCAACATTCAAAGAGATTTACATACACTGGTACAAGCATACAGGTACATAAGCAATTAGCGACACAGAGGGAAGGGACAACTAAAGTTTCATTCTAATTACATAGGGCTTTGCTGAAGTTACACCTGGAGTACAATGCAGATTTTGATTCCATATGTATTAGATCACTGCCTTGGAGGGAGAACTGCAAAGGTGGTTCCTGGTATGAGGCACAACGTGAGTGAGTCTATGTTCTCTAAAATTTAGAAAAATTAGGTTCTCTCATTGAAACGTGCAAGATGCTGAAGGGATTTGACAGGACAGACAGATGATTGCATTGCTGGAAAATCTATAATATGGGGAAAGTATTAGGATAAGGCTCCATTTATATAGAACTGAGATAAGGAGAAATCTGTTTAGAGGGTTGGGAATAAAGGTTCAATAAGATCTGGGTGATCTGGCTGCTGTCTCAATGCCACTTTCCTGCTACAATAACAAATCACACTCATTCTTCTAAACTCTAGTGGGTTGGTTAGCCCTGCTGCCACACAGCACCAGTTTGACTAGTCTTGGGCAACTATCTGTATGGCATTTGCGCATTCTCCATGTCTGCATGGGTTTCCTCCAGGTGCTCCCATAGTCCAAAGATGTACAGGGATAGGATGGAGGATTCAATGATAAAGGTCCAATCTGTTCAGATTTGTTTATAATAAATGCCCATTGCCTACATTCATAAGCCCTACATGAGCCAAGTGAACACTTCCCAAATGGCTTCTCATGCAATTATATACTTTTTTGCAAGAACAGAGGCCAAAATTGTATACGATACTGATGTGGTTGACCAAAACCCTGTACAGGTGCAGGAATAAGACTATTTTATTTATACCCTACTTTTCTTCCAAAAATAAAATACAGTACTAACATTCCATTTGCCTTCTCAATCATTTGCTGCACTTGAATCAGAGTCACAGATGCATGGCACGGAAACTGACCCTTCAGTCCAACTCGTACATGCCGACCAGATATTCTGAATTAATCTAGTTGCATTTGCCAGCATTTAGCCTATACTCCTCTAAACCCTTCCCATTTATATACCCAAGATGCCTTTTAAATGTTGACTGTTCCCACCTCCACCACAATCACCTCTGGCAGCTCATTCTATACACACACCACCCTGTGTGAAAACGTTGCTCCTCAGGCCCTTTTAAATCTTTCGTCTCTCACCTTAAACCTATACTCTCTAGTTCTGGACTCTCCTACCCCGGGGAAAAGGCCTTGACTATTCACACTATCCATGTCCCTCATGATTTTATGAGCTTCCGAATACTAAATTTTTGTGATCCATGTCCCAGGACATCCAAACACCTGTGTACCGAATACTGCAATCCCTCCCTACCAGCACGCCTCATACTTTATGATTCTTCCCCTACATTTTATGCTGGCCGCACGCCAACTCCTCACGCTTGCAAGTTCTTGCAGAAAGAGCACCGGATTCGCTGCGCGTGGGCCGCTGAAAAATGTGGGACACGTGGAACAAACCAAAAAAAGCATAGTGGCGACAGCAAATCGCTGAAAATCGCTGCTGCTTTCCAGACCCCTGACCTGCTCAGCCACGGTCAGGGAGCCACCCTCCAACTCCCTCGGATGTTACTCTCTGCACAGTACCACCCCGTCCCCACTTGAAGACGGGAGGGGAAGAGAAAAATAAAAGCTTGTTCCAGCGGCCCAACCCCATCCTCATTCCACCCCTCACCTCCCGGAACACTGGGATCCCATTCCGGGTTTACCAACTGGTTTTCCGCTGCCTGCCAACCCCTTTCCATCCCCATCGCCACCTTTCCTCCCCAGCTCGGTCCCTGCAGCGCCCGGATCCGCAGGCCTGGGAAGAGGACGACGAGATGGCGGGCGGGTGTCAGGGCCAACTCACTCACCATTCCTCGGCCATCGCGCTGCGGGTCTGGTTGCGCCGGAAGGCGGCGGTTTCGTGCTACAATATAAAGCAGAGTGTGATTGTTAGTGGCGGCCGGTACGATCGCGGGCTCCCGCGGGCGGCTGGAGCCGAGGATGGCGGCGATGGGGCTCGGATAACCCGCCGGTCCGGCCTGTACTCACCGCGAGCCGGACAGAGAGAGAGAGGGAGAAGGGCGGGGTCAAGGTGGCGGGGTGGAGCGCGCGTGCGCCGCAACGTCACCGCGTTCACTCCCGCCCCGAGTCGCGCAGGACCCCGCTTCCCCCACGTGACCTCGTAGACAGGCGGCCGCACAACTCGCCTGACAGGAAACGTCACCGTGGTGACCGCTAATACTACTACAACAACAACAACAACAACCGTTTAGGTGGCGCCTTCTTCCACGATTTCGGCACAGCGTCTGACTACTACGTTACTGTTTTTTCCCCTCTCTCGCTCCCTCCTCCAAGTGAGACCGAGATGTTATTACGCGCTTCAGAGATAGTAGGAACTGAAGATGCTGGAGAATCTGAGACAACAAGGTGCAGAGCTGGATGAACACAGCAGGCCAAGCAGCATCAGAGGAGCAATGAGGCTGACGTTTCAGGCCTAGACCCTTCATCAGAAATGGGGGAGGGGAAGGGGGTTCTGAAATAAATAGGGAGAGACGGGGAGGCGGATAGAAGATGGATAGAGGAGAAGATAGGTGGAGAGGAAACAGACAGGTCAAAGAGGCGGGGATGGAGCCAGTAAAGGTGAGTGTAGGTGGGGAGTTAGGAAGGAGATAGGTCAGTCCAGGGAGGACAGACAGGTCAAGGGGGCGGGATGAGGTTAGTAGGTAGGAGATGGGGGTGGGGCTTGAGGTGGGAGGAAGGACAGGTTAGGGAGGCGGGGACGAGCTGGGCTGGTTTTGGGATGCGGTAGGGGGAGGGGAGATTTTGAAGCTTGTGAAATCCACATTGATACCATTGGGCTGCAGGGTTCCCAAGCGGAATATGAGTTGCTGTTCCTGTAACCTTCGGATAGCATTGTTGTGGCACTGCAGGAGGCCCAGGATGGACACGTCATCTGAGGAATGGGAGGGGGAGTTGAAATGGTTCGCGACTGGGAGGTGCAGTTGTTTATTGCGAACCGAGCGTAGGTGTTCTGCAAAGCGGTCCCCGAGCCTCCGCTTGGTTTCCCCGATGTAGAGGAGGCCACCAATGGGAACAGTGGATACAGTATACCACATTAGCAGATGTGCAGGTGAACATCTGCTTGATGTAGAAAGTCTTCTTGGGGCCTGGGATGGGGATGAGGGGGGAGGTGTAAGGGCAGGTGTAGCACTTCCTGCGGTTGCAGGGAAAAGTGGTGGGGCTGGAGGGGAGTGTGGAGCGGACAAGGGAGTCATGGAGAAAGAGTGGTCCCTCCTGAAAGCAGATAAGGGTGGGGAGGGAAAACTGTCTTTGGTGGTGGGGTCAGATTGCAGATGGCGGAAGTGTCGGAGGATGATGCGTTGGATCCGGAGGTTGGTGGGGTGGTATGTGAGGACGAGGGGGATTCTGTTTTGGTTGTTATTGCGGGGAGAGGGTGTGAAGGATGAGTTGCGGGAGACACGGTCGAGGGCATTCTCGACCACTGAGGGGGGGGAAGTTGTGGTCCTTGAAAAACGAGGACATCTGAGATGTACGGGAGTGGAATGCCTCATCCTGCGAGCAGATGCGTCGGAGGTGAAGGAATTGGGAATAGGGGATGGCATTTTTGCAGGAAGGTGGGTGGGAGGAGGAGTATTCTAGGTAGCTGTGGGAGTCGGTGGACTTGAAATGGATATCGGTTTCTGGATGGTTGCCAGAGATGGAGACAGAGAGGTCCAGGAAGGAGAGAGAGGTATTAGAGATGGTCCAGGTGAACTTAAGGTTGGGGTGGAAGGTGTTGGTGAAGTGGATGAACTGTTCAAGCTCCTCGTGGGAGCACAAGGCGGCGCTGATACAGTCATCCACGTAACGGAGGAAGGGGTGGGGTTTAGGGCCAGTGTAGGTATGGAAGAGGGATTGTTCCACGTAACCTACAAAGAGGCAGGTATAGCTTGGGCCCATGCGAGTACCCATTGCCACCCACTTTGTCTGTAGGAAGTGGGAATTGAAAGTGAAGTTGTTGAGTGTGAGGACGAGTTCGGCTAAGCGAATGAGGGTGTCAGTGGAGGTGGCCTGGTCGGGCCTGCGGGACAGGAAGAAGCAGAGGGCCTTTAGGCCATCTGTATGGGGAATGCAGGTGTATAGGGACTGGACGTCCATGGTAAAGATGAGGTGTTGGGGATCGGGGAATTGGAAGTTCTGGAGGAGAGGTGGAGGGCGTGGATGGTGTCGCGGACATAGGTAGGGAGTTCCTGGACCAAGGGCTTGGGAACCCTGCAGCCCAATGGTATCAATGTGGACTTCACAAGCTTCAAGATCTCCCCTACCGCATCCCAAAACCAGCCCAGCTCGTCCCCGCCTCCCTAACCTGTCCTTCCTCCCACCTATCCCCTCCTCCCACCTCAAGCCCCACCCCCATCTCCTACCGACTAACCTCATCCCGCCCCCTTGACCTGTCTGTCCTCCCTGGACCGACCTATCCCCTCCCTACCTCCCCACCTACACTCACCTTTACTGGCTCCATCCCCGCCTCTTTGACCTGTCTGTCTCCTCTCCACCTATCTTCTCCTCTATCCATCTTCTATCCGCCTTCCCCTCTATCCCTATTTATTTCAGAACCCCCTTCCCCTCCTCCATTTCTGAAGAAGGGTCTAGGCCTGAAACGTCAGCCTTCCTGCTCCTCTGATGCTGCTTGGCCTGCTGTGTTCATCCAGCTCTACACCTTGTTATGTCATGTTATTACGCGCCCTTAAAATAGACAGAACTTGAACCCGGGACACCTGGCTTGGAGGTAGGGACATTACCAGTGCCCCACAGGAGTTATCCCAGCACTGTGCAAGGTATTATCTGATCAACCTGTGCAAGAGATGTTATGACACACCTCAGAAGCTGGTGGGACCTGAACCCAGACCTCCCAGCCCAGAGGTATGGACAATATCAAAAACCCCCAAAGGACTGCGGATGCTGGAAATGGGAAACCTAAACAGAAATAGCTGGGAAAACTCAGCAGGTTTTGGCAGCATCTGTGGACAGAATGTTCGGGTGCAGTGAAGGCTTCTGCAGAAAGATACTTGGACCTGAAATGTTAATTCTGCTTCACCTCCAAAGATGCTGCCAGACCTGCTGAGTTTTCCCAGCAGTTTCTGTTTTTGTAGGGACACTATCACTGCGCCCACAAGATCCTACATGCCATTGTCCAATTAAGTACTTTTAAAGTGCTGCATGTGTAATGTCAAACAGTCAATTTGCACGCAGCAAACTCAGTTCTGCACACTGCATTGATTTTTGTTCTGGTGTTGGAATTTGAACAATATAGGGATAATGGCTCACCTTTCTTCAAGATAGTGCTAAAGTATCCTGGTGTCACCCCCTGGTGTACAGGGTGGATGAAGTTTGCAAACGATGGCATGTAGCTCCGACATTGCAGCACTCCTTCAATTGTTCACAGGATATCAGCCTACATGTACGGGACCCAACCAGTTGAGGTCAGAATCATCCAACTCGGTCAGAGGATGTACTATCATCAGCCTCTGCTGACACTTGCATAGTCGTCATGTCCAAAGTAAAATACTGCAGAAGCTGGAAAACTGGAAACAAAAGTTTACAGCCAGCATCTGTTAAAAGAATTCTGTTTTGTATCAAAACCCTTTCTTAGGAGCTGGAATTCATGTCTCCTCCAAGTAGATCAAGGTTGAGTATGTCTAAATGTCTGAATCACAGCCTCTCATTTAAAAATGTTCTCTATATTCAAAAGTACACTGCAAGAAGAAAACCCAGGGAGTTACAGGCCAGTTAACCTGACATTTGTGATGTGGAAGTTGTTGGAGTCTATTATCAAGGATGGGGGTAGCTGAACACCTTAAGAGTTTTCAGTGAATCAGAGATAGCCAGCATGGATTCGTAACAGGTACATCATGCCTGACAAACCTCATTGAATTATTTTGAAGAAGTGACTAAGGTAGTGGACAGGGGATTGTCTAGATGTGTTTTCATGCATTTCTATAAGGTCCTTGATAAAATCCTACATAAGAGATAACACAGAATGTCATATATCTAAATGTAGATCAAACTGGCATCCAGGATCTTCCACATGCTGCAACTATGACACATCATCTGTCCTGTCATCCTTAATATGTTCCAATTAGCTACATAATTATTTTATTCTATTATATAATTACTCATGGGCCGGATGTTCTCAGGTAAAGGGATGGCTGGAAAATGGGAAGCCTTCAAAAATGAGGTAACGAGAGTCCAGAGACAGTATGTTCCCGTTAGGGTGAATGAAAAGGCTGGTAAGTATAGGGAATGCTGGATGACTTGGAAAAATTGAGGTTTTGGTCAAGAAAAAGAAGGAAGCATATGTCAGGTATAGACAGCAGAAATTGAGTGAATCCCTAGAAGAGTATAAAGGCAATAGGAGTATACTTAAGAGGGAAATCAGGAGGGCACAAAGGGGTCATGAAATATCTTTGGCAAATAGGGGTAAGGAGAATCCAAAGGGATTCTACAAATACATTAAAGGGTAACTAGGGAGAGAATAGGGCCCCTTAAAGATCAGCAAGGCCGCCCATGTGTGGGACCGCAGGAGATGGGGGAGATACTAAACAAGTATCTCACATCAGTGTTTACTGTGGAGAAGGATATAAAAGATAAAGGACGTGGGGAAATAAGTAGTGATCCTTTGAAAAATGTCCAAATTACAGAGGAGGAGGTACTGGAGGTCTTAAAATGTATAAATGTGGATAAATCCCTGGGATCTGATCAGGCGTACCCTAGAAGACTGTGGGAAGCTAGGGAAGTGATTGCTGGGCCCCTTGCTGAGAAATTTGGATCATTGATAGCCACAGGTGAGGTGCTGGAAGACTAGAGGTTAGCTAACATGGTGCCACTACTTAAGAAAGATGGTAAGGAAAAGCCAGGCAACTATAGACTGGTGAGCCTGACATCAGTGGTGGGCAAGTTGTTGGAGGGAATCCTAAGGGACAGGATTTACATGTATTTGGAAAGGCAAGGACTGATTAGTGATAGTCAATATGGCTTTGTGTGTGATAAATCATGTCTCACCAACTTGATTGAGTTTCTTGAAGAAGTAACAAACAGATTTGATGAAGGCAGAGCAGTGGACATGATCTATTTGGATTTCAGTAAGGTGTTCGACAAGGTTCCTTATGGAGAATGGTTAGCGAGGTTAGATGACACGGAATAGAGGGAGAACGAGCTATTTGGATACAGAACAGGCTCAAACGTAGAAGACAGAGGGTGGTGGTGGAGGGTTGCTTTTCAGGCTGGAGGTTTGTGACTAACGGTGTGCCACAAGGATCAGTGCTGCATCATTGCTGTTTGTCATTTATATAAATGATTTGGATGTGAACATAGGAGGTGTTGTTAGTAAGTTTGCAGATGACACCAAAATTGGAGCTGTAGTGGACAGTGAAGAAGGTGATCTCAGAGTTACAATGGGATCTTGATCAGATGGGCAAAGGAGTGCCAAAGGAGTTTAATTTAAATAGATGTGAGATGCTGCATTTTGGAAAGGCAAATCAGAGCAGGACTTATACAGGTTGTTGACTTGCTCACCGAACTGGCTGGTTGTAGTTCAGACGTTTCGTCACCATGCTAGGTAACATCATCAGTGCGGCCTCCGATGAAGCGATGTAGTTCTACTCCGCTTAGTATTTAATAAATATGGAATGCTAAGCAGAGTAGAACTATATCGTGATGAAACTTCCATATACAGGCATCCCACTTCAGGTGGCATTCGCCCTTCCACTCCTTAGACGACATGTCCATCCTGGGCCTCCTGCAGTGCCACAACGATGCCACCCGAAGGTTGCAGGAACAGCATCTCATATTTCGCTTGGGAACCCTGCAGCCCAATGGTATCAATGTGGACTTCACAAGCTTCAAAATCTCCCCTCCCCCTACCGCATCCCAAAACCAGCCCAGCTCGTCCCCGCCTCCCTAACCTGTCCTTCCTCCCACCTATCCCCTCCTCCCACCTCAAGCCCCACCCCCATCTCCTACCGACTAACCTCATCCCGCCCCCTTGACCTGTCTGTCCTCCCTGGACCGACCTATCCCTTCCCTAACTCCCCATCTACACTCACCTTTACTGGCTCCATCCCCGCCTCTTTGACCTGTCTGTCTCCTCTCCACCTATCTTCTCCTCTATCCATCTTCTATCCGCCTCCCCCTCTCTCCCTATTTATTTCAGAACCCCCTTCCCCGCCCCCTTTTCTGAACAAGGGTCTAGGCCCGCGACGTCAGCCTTCCTGCTCCGTTCATCCAGCCCTACACCTTGTTATGTAATTCTGGAATGAGTCACTGGGGTGAGTGTGTGAGTGTTGCTGGGTTTTCACTTGACTGTTGCAACAGAAGTGGGACAACTTGTGAGGACAAGATTATTCAACGCAACAGACGAATTGAATACTTTTAAACAGAATTTCCATTTATAAAACAGAGCCGATGAGAGGGAGTTACTTCGGAGAATTGAAAAATCTTGCCTGCAAGATTGGACGGGTCGAACGAATTGATCGGATCGACCGTTTTCATTTCTACGGGATACGCAGTAAGGAGTGTGTCTCCCTCGGCCGGTCCCAAAGGTGTGTTCCCACCAAAGGACAATGTCCGGTCAAGGAAATGAAAGTAAGTGCCTCAGCTCTCTTTCCCCCCCGCCCCCCGTATTTACCTGATAGGCTTTTTCTAGTAAAAGTTCTAGCAACGAAAGACCAGAAAAATAATAGTTCCAAAGAACAGGATTTCGTTCAATGGAGTGTAATGAATATGAGCATGCGGCACAGAGAGGTTCACTTGCTTTAAGGACATGAATGTTTTTCTTAATTCATTCATGGGTTGTGTCGTTGTTCCTTGGAGCGTGCGTCGTGCAACGCTGGAACGTTGCAGCGAGCCCAGGAGAACGGTCCCGAACCGAAACGTCAACTTTCCTGCTCCTTTCAAGCTGCCTAGCCTGCCGTGTTCTTCCAGCTCCACACTGTGTTATCCCAAGAGGGAAATGTTAGCTCCGGAGCAAGTAGGTTTATTGAAATTGTAAGCAACTGGGAAGCCAGGATCATTCCTGTACACAAAGGCGAGGTGCAGTGCAACCCGGTCTGTATTTAGTCTTGCCAGGAACAAAAACAAAGTTGCTGGAACAGCTCAGCAGGTCTGGCAGCATCTGAGCAGGAAAAAAAGAGTTAACGTTTTGGGTCCGGTGACCCTTCCTCAGAACACAGGAAGGCAGATTAGAGGAGAAGGCATTATCAACAGCGAATATGGTAGACTAGATTGAAGGAAGTACAAATAAAACCCTTCTTCACCTGGAAGATGCGTTTGGGGCCTTGGATAATGAGGAAGGGAGAAGGTGAATGAGCAAGCGTTATATACCTTTTGTAATAGCATAGGGAGGGGATGTGTGGACTGTAAGGTGTGATGCAGGGTGCTCCGTCAGCCCATTCACCTCCTTTCCGTACCGTTCTCCATTTTTATTACATCTGGCACCTCCCTCCTCCACCCCCAACTCTGTCAAAAGCGTGTTTTTAAAACATCAGACCTTTCAGTTCTAAAAAAGTCAAACTGGACTGCTCGTAAGCTGAGTTTCTCCAGTTCTGTGTTTGTATGTGCTGTTGAAAAGCCTGACATTTGTTGTCCATTACTAAATGGCCCTAAAGCAATGAACCACTGCACTTTGCATACTGAACGTACTCCCAATCACTGTTAGTAGTTCAATTGTCCACCATCATTCAGGACTGGATGTGACAGGACTGCAGAGTTCTGATTTTAATCCATTGATCTTTGGATGGCTTTGCTTTATCTATTTCGTATTTGCTGAAAATTATGCATTTATTTTGTTTTAACGTCACCATGTTTGTGCCTGGCACTATTTCACACTTGCTTTCTTTCAATATGAAGAATCCTAGTCTCTGCTAGCACAGTGTGGTGTTCCCTCTCAGCAGAAGAGCAAAGAATTGATGTAAACTTTTCCTTCCTATTGGCTATGTCACCATCAGCAGCACGCTTCTTCGAAAGCTATATCCTTTAGGAGTCATTCAATAGTAGTGCTACCAAGCCGCTCTTTGTTAAATGTCAGGTGTTTGCGATCACAGTTGCCAAATATAGCCAGTCAATCATTTGTAGGGATATTCAAATAATTTATTAGCTTGGTTAAGAAGCAGCAGTTTAGATATGCATTATTTAATTAGACACAGAAAGGAAATCTACTTGCCATGGTAGAAGAGAATGCTTTACTGATCCAGAAGCCATCCCATACAGGCAGTGGACCCCTCCTGTTTTGAGTGGTGGGTGTTTCTCTCTGCTGTTTTGTAGGCTTTGGTGGTAGCCTGGTTAACAGTCTTTGTTCTTCTTTCAAACTTTGTCTTCTCCCTAGAAGGTGATGGCTCATTCCACGAGACATTCCATCTCGAACACACTTACTCAGTTAATATACCTTATTTTGGGGGCTGATGATCTGCACTCTGACAATCGCCCATCTGAGCCCTTCTGGCTAATGATCATGGGCAGCTTCTCATGGCACCAGGATGACAGTTGTCCCATTGCTTGCATAAATCTGAGGGTTAGCTTAACATTCTTTCTAAGAGCAAAAACTCCTTTTCCCAAACAATATATTGGTAATAGGATGCATACAGTGACAGATAAATCATTAATGTCAATTCAATGGAGCATCATGACCTCAGTGATTTTTGTGACTTTTTCCTTCTGTTTTAATATGGGCTGGAAATTTGTAAAGCTAGTAACAGCAATTAAATGAAATCTCATGCTACAAAGTAAATTTGAGGAAAATTCAGTGTTAAAGAATACACATTTTCCAACATAATAAAACAAAGAAATGTGGATGCTGGGGAGCTGAAATTGAGGTTGGAGGCTGTCAACTTTCAAACTGTACAGTATTTTGGTACCATTCCCTGAGTGTGGTATTGAGTTATGATGACCAAGACCCAAAAGAGATATCTCAACTCTAATCTTGGCTCAAATTTAGTGATTCAGGCTATTTAAATTTTAAATTATGAATTATGAAATGAAATTAAGAAATTTTAAAGAGGGAAATGGATGAGTGACTTTACAAGTTATAGCCAGGTTTCTAGTCTTTACTACTTACGTTCTCTCAGTCAACATTGCCAAATATTCTTGTAAGTGAACTCTACATTCTCTATAATGTTGTACAGTTTTTGTTTGGAAATTGATAACTTAACTTAAATTTGTAAAGTTGCAGATGATCAAAATGAAAATTCAAGAAATGAATCACCGAAGTGGACAAGATCCCAAATTTTCACACTAGTCTCTGCAGCATCACTGAACTTTAGTTCTATGATTTGTTATTCAATTTTGGGACCTTTCTTTCCAAAAGAGGTAATAAACATATTCTGCATTTACCTGAGTTGCATTCTTTTTGAAGACTTCCTTGAAAATATAATCTGTGCATTTGTAATTTGGGTTGATTTCATAACTTTTTAATTCGTTCACAGGATTTGGGTGTCTCTGGCTAGGCCAGCGCTTATTGGCCATCCCTAATTGCCTTTCAGACGGCAATGGTGAGCTGCCTTCTCAAGTCCCTAAAGCCTGTAGGGGGTATTTAATTGTGTTAATTGGTGAATATGCCTAGGTATTTCTACTGTTCAAAGGTATTGCACTAATAGAATGTGCTTGATCAATGAACTGTTTATTAAAATTTAACAAAATAGTTTTGTTGATGACATTCTTTATCAACTTCTTCTCATTGGAATATAATTTTGTTTTGACCAAGGTAACAGCCTCAGAGTAAAGGGAAACCCCTTTAGAAAGGAAATGAGGGGAAACTTCTTCAGCCAGAGTGTGGTGAATCAATGGAATTCATTATCATTATAGTTGAGCTAACTATACGGTAAATGGAAAAGCCGTGGGGAAAATTGATGCACAGAGAGATCTGGGTGTTCAGGTCCATTGTACCCTGAAGGTGGCAATGCCGGTTGATAGTGGTCAAAAAGGCATACGGCATGCTTTCATTCATTGGACAGGGTATTGAGTACAAGAGCTGGCAGGTCATATTACAGTTTGTATAGGACTTTAGTTCGACCATGTTTCGAATACTGCATACAGTTCTGGTCGCCACATTACCAAAAGGATGTGGATGCTTTGGAGAGGGTGCAGAGGAGGTTCACCAGGATGTTGCCTGGTATGGAGGGTGCTAGCTATGAAGAGAGGTTGAGTAGATTAGGATTATTTACATTAGAAAGACGGAGGTTGAGGGGGGAACCTGATTGAGGTCTACAAAATCATGAGAGGTGTAGACAGGGTGGATAGCAAGAAGCTTTTTTCCCCAGAGTGGGACTCAATTACTCGGGGTCACGATTTCAAGATGAGAGGGGAAAAGTTTAAGGAAGATATGCGTGGAAAGCTCTTTACGCAGAGGGTGGTGGGTGCCTGGAACACGTTGCTGGTAGAGGTGGGCACTATAGTGTCATTTAAGATATATCTAGACAGAAACATGAATGGGCAGGGAATAGAGGGATACAGATCCTTGGAAAATAGGTGACAGGTTTAGATAGAGGATCTGGATCAGCGCAGGCTTGGAGGGCCGAAGGGCCTGTTCCTGTGCTGTAATTTTCTTTGTTCTTTGTTCTTTATCATAGAAGGCTGTGGAGGCCAGGTCATTGACTATATTTAAGACAGAGATAGATAATTCCTTGTCAAGGACATCAAAAGTTACATGGAGAGAGCAGGAAAATGGGGTTGAGAAACTTATCAACCATGATTGAATGGCAGAGCAGACTCAATGGGCCAGATGGCGTAATTTCTGCTCCTGTGTCTTTTGGTCTAACATGTTGCCTTAACAGACACTCCTCATATTTGTAGTAGTGGCTTGAGGAATGAGGTTATCTATTTGTCTCTTAGTCTCAACTTTTGAATTTATTTTATGCTTTTGGAAGAATGTCATAAAATAAATCATTCATATATAATAAGACACTATATATAAATGCAAATAATTGAAACCAAATGACTTCACCTCCGCCTATTGTTGCAAATAAATGAAGCAATTTAAAAACTGGTCTTTCGGTTGGTAAGTCAAAGGTGATGTTAGGTGAGATTGTCAAATTCTCCATCAAAGTGACAGATTTTCTGAAGAGCCTTCAAGTAGGAGACGAAGATGGAAGTGTATAGAGAGAATTCCAAACCATTGGGCCAAAGTAAGTCAGTGGAGCCAAGGGAGTGGGTGAATGGGACTCTGTAGTATAAGATATTGGTTTTAGATGGGCCAAAATTGAATCTGGATTAAGAACGAAGAGCTGACCAGGAGAACATTTGGAATAGTTGAATCTGGAGGTGACTAGTGTGAATTAATTTTATGCAGCTGATAGGGTGTGGTGGTGTGAATTGAAGTAGAAGTAGGCAATTTTAGTGGAAAGAATGTGGAGTTGTAAGTTCAGCTTGGGTTCTGAGAACTCAGAACTGTTCTGAGGAAGGGTCACCGGACCCGAAACGTTAACTCTGTTCTCCGTCACAGATGCTGCCAGACTTGCTGAGCTTTTCCAGCAACTTTGTTTTTGTTCTTGATTTGCAGCATCCGCAGTTCTTTTGGTTTGTATTAGAAATTGCGAGCAGTCTGATTCAGACTGAGACAAGACAGTCAGTAGCAAGAGCTCAGCATTTAGGGTACATTTAAGTAGAGTTTTTCCTATGTTTAAAATGAGGAAGTTGTGATTTATTAAAGACGTGAAAAGCCTCTTCATATGTGTGGTTTGTGTCAGGAGTGCACTGCCTGGAAGTGTGGTGGCAGTAGGTTGAATTGAGATAATCAGTAGGGCATCAGATGATTATTTCTATTCAAATAATGCGCAGGTCTACCAGGAAAAAGACAGGAGAATGGCGTTAAGTCATGATGGTCTTTTGGAGAGCCGGTGCAGACACAACGCACCAACTGGCCTCCTTTTGACATGTAACACTTTGCCAAAGTCACACAGCATCTGTCTTGATATGATTGAGAAAGGTACTGCAAAGCTTGGTCCTGTTCGTGTATCAAGAATTGACAAACTGTAAATCAAATTATTAAAAGATGTCCTGTGGAATAAAGAAAAGGATCCAAGGATGGATACCAACATTTTTTGACTATAGGCAGCTTATTAATAATACAAATATATGAATAAGGAGCAGGAGTAAGACCTGGCCCCTGCATTTCTGCCTACTCTTCCTGGCCAATAACCTTTCACCCTTGCTTAAGAATCTTTCTCACTCTGCATTAAAAGGATTTAAGGACTCTGTTTCCAAAGACTCTCAGCCCCTAGAGCATCTTCTCCAGGCATTCAAGTTGGCCAGCATTCCCCAGCATCTCAGGTCATTCTCCATTGGCAACAACTGCCTGCATCCTCCATGCATGGAGGTTGACCTCAACAGAGCACCAATCTCCAGAACACTGAATATGAAAGGAGAATAGTACTTATTTGAGTTATGGGAAACATTGTCAGTCGTGGGCCTGGTCCAATATCTAACCAGTCGCTTGGACGTAGTCAAGGGGGTCTGTTGTTTAGAAATGTTCAGCTTTCACAGCATTTTGGGCAATAAGGCAGGGCAGGTGACTGAAGTAAAAGTGGGGGAAACACTTTAGGTCTAGCAATCATAATTCTATTAGTTTCAAAATGGTTATGGAAAAGGATAAGCCTTCCATAAAAGTTAAAGGTTTTAATTGGAGTCAGGCAAATTTTAATGGTATGAAACAAGAACTTTCAAAAGTTGATTGGAGTAGACTGTTTGCAGGTAAAAGGATGTCTGACGAGTGGGAGGCATTCAAGAGTTAGATGATGAGAGTTCAGAGGTTTTTGTTCCTGTCTGGGTGAAGGTAAGGCTGGTAAGATTAAGGAACAATGGATGAATAAAGATGTTGAGGTTTTAGTAAAGAATAAAAGAAAATCTTATTTTAGATGTAGACAACTTAGTTCAATTGAATCTCTTAACCTCTTTTATGTTTGTCATTTATATAATGATTTGGATGAGAATATAGAAGGCATGGTTAGTAAGTTTGTGGCCAACACCAAAAGCAGACATTGAAAAGAGTTTCTAACATTACAAAAGGACCTTTTTCAAATGGGTCAATGGGCTGAAAAACGGCAGATGGTGTTCAATCTGGATAAATGTGAAGTATTGCATTTTGGCACGACGAACAAGGGTAACGCTTACACAATTAATGGTAGGGCCTTGGGTAGTGTTGTAGAACAACAGGATTGAGGGATGCAGGTACGTAATTCTTTGAAGTTTGCGTCACATATAGACAGGGTGGTTAAAAAGATGTTTGGCACACTTGCCTTCATTGCTCAGTCCTTTGAGTGTAGGAGTTGAGAAGTCATGTTGAGCTTGTAAAGGACATTGGTGAGGCCTCTTCTGGAATACTGTGTCCAGCTCTGGTCTCCCAGTTATAGGAAGGACATGATCAAGCTGGAGAGGTTCAAAAGAGATTAACCAGGGTTGAGTTATAAAGAAAGGCTGGATGGGCTGGGACGTTTTTTTACTGGAGCATAGGAGGTTGAGAGGTGACCTGATAGAAGTTTATAAAATAATGAGAGGTATAGATAGAGTTAATGGTAGTCTTTTCCCAAGGGCGGGGAATTTAAAGACTAGGGGGTAACTTTTTAAGGTGAGAGGAGAGACATTAAAAAAAGACATGAGGGGCAAATTTTTTACACTGAGGGTGGTTCGAGTATGGAATGAACTTCCTAAGGAAGTGGTGGATGTGGGTACAATTACAATGTTCAAAAAGACATTTGGATAAGTACATGAGTAGGAGAGGTTTGGAGGCATATGGGCCAGGAGCAGGCAGGTGGGACTAGTTTAGTTTGGGATTATGTTCAGCATGGACTAGTTGGACCAAAGGGTCTGTTTCCATGCTGTATGACTCTATCTGAAGCTCCCTCTTGTATTTATCAAAGTGTTGTGCTTCTATGGGTACTAGGAAGAAAGCTAACCTTCTGAAAGGGTCATAATATTGCATGGCACTAAGGAAGGCTGCCACTTTGCCTTCACTCTTGTAGCTGCAGCTAAAATGACAATTGATCACACAGGTAATGATATAAAGTGAACACATATTTATAAATGTGAGATTCTTTACAATGAAGTTTCATCTGTGCCACCTATTGTCATCACAGGATTTTCTTTTTCTTTTCCTTTTATATATAGGTACAGTCCTAGGGTTCACAGCTGGGGTGGAGGGATCCTACTCGGTAGTGGAGATTATTGAAGCTTGAGTTCTGGACGGATAACCCCATGTGCATTTTAGCCAAAAGAGCCAAGATATGCAGATAGTGTCCTGGCCAGAGACAAGCTAACTGCCTGGTTTGTACTTCCACAGGGTAGAGGTGGAGGGGCAAGGCACCTCTTGACTGTCCAGAAAGGAGACTTACGGGACCCCACAAAAGGTTCCCCATCAGATTGAATGTCTATTGGCATCAACATGCCTTCTTGAGAGGAAGGGGCACCTCAAATTTTATTTTCTGTAATGATGGTTGATGTGGTACCTCACCAAATGCCTTCCAGAATTCTAAGTGCAGAATATCCACTAGTTCCACTCAATCCATAGCACGTATTACTTCTCAAAGAACTCCAATAAATTTGTTCAGTGGCATGTTCTTTTCGTAAAACCATGTTGATTATGCCCGATTACCTTGAATTTTTCTAAGTGTCCTGCTATAAGTTCTTTAATAATAGCTCCTAATATCTTAGTAATGAAAAATGGTAAGATAATTGCCTTTAGTTTCCTGCTTTTTGTTTCCCTCCCTTTTGAGTTAATGAGTCATACTTGCTACTTTCTGTGCAATAGAATCATGTGTATTGCATTTATTATATTACTTTCTTTGCAGGCAGGAAGGAAAGGAGCCAATGACACTGTTGTTGGAATGATTTTTGGATGTTTTGCTTTATTTAATCTTATATTTTCACTGCTACTAGGAAAATATGTAAGTATAATATTTTAATATTTTTATTCTTTTGCACTAGGACCTTAGGTTTATTTTAAGCTAATAACACTTGCCACAGACAACATTTCTTTAATGTTAGAAAAGCACAGTCTCATTTATTAAAGCAGTATATTACTAATGTTTCTAGACAATTAACTGGGTGTAAACTACAGCTACAATCTTCATTGCATCAAACACATGGCAGAGCCTCCTGGCTTCATTGTGTTAAGAGGAGTACTGATATTGGTTCCTCACGTCTTCTGAGAGAATTTGAGGACTTTGCTTTTTAATTTAAACCACGAGCATCAACATTTCTGGATTGTTACTTGTATTACATCTAATTGGAATGAGGAAAAATGGATTAGAAGTTTAAATATTGCCTGAAAGAATGGTGGAAGAGGCAGGGAATTTGATTCACGGCTCACTGGCACAAGTACTGGAAAGATGGAAGGCCAGGCTCTACTTGAACCAATGTGGTAGCAAATTGAATAACTAGATCTATAGGCAGGAAATTGAGCTTATGTGGGGCTGCTTGAAAGAATTTAGGAAATTCAGAAGAGCTGCAAGGGAAATGTTAAAATTCTACGCTGTACTCACAAGAACATGCTCGTTCTAAACCCTGGTCAACTGGCTTTTAAAAGGCTCCCACATATCAAATGTGGATTTACCGTCAAACAGCTACCCCCAGTCCAGTTTTTCCAGTGCTTGCCTAATACTGTTATAATTAGTCTTCCCCCAAGTTAACATTTCCACCCAAGGATCAGTCTTCTCCTTTCTGATAACTATCTTAAAACTTACAAAGTTATGATCACTATTCCCAAACTGCACACCCAGTGAAACTTAAATCACCTGGCCAGGCTCTTTCCCCAGTACAATGTCTAATATGGCCCCTTCTGTAATTGGACTATCTACATATTGTTTCAAGAATCCCTCCTGGATGCACCTAACAAATTCTGCCTTATCTAAGCCCTTGATACTTGGGGAGTCCCAGTGAATATTGGGGAAATTAAAATCACTCATTTCCATAACCCTGTTGTTTTTACAACCTTCCATGATCTGCTTACATATCTGTTCCTCTAATTTCCACTGGCTGTCGAGGCCTGTTGCATAACCCCATCATAGTGATTGGACCTTTCTTATTCCTAACTTCTATCCATATCGCCTCGCTGGATGATTCCTCCAAGATGTCCTCTCCTAGTACAGCTGTGACATTTTGCTTCATCAGTAATCCAACTCCCTGACTCCTTTTACATCCTTCCTATCATGCCTGAAACATCTAAACCCTGTAATGTTGAGCTACCAGTCCTGCCCTTCTATCAACCAAATTTCTGTGCTGGCTACCACATCTAAGCCCCATATACTAATCTAGGCTCTGAGCTCATCCGCCTTATCTGTTATACTCCTTGCATTAAAATAAATACACTTCAGACCACTGGTCCTTCTTTGTTAATTAACCTGGCCCTGCCTGTTGTTCCTACTGGACTTACTCGATTTAGCTCCTCTCTTCTCTTCAAACACTCCACATGTGACCTACTGCTTAGGTTCCCACCCCACTGCCACCCTAGTTTCTGTCATTAAGGAAGTGGTGTTGAGCTGCCTTCTTGAAGTACTGTGGTTTATTTGGTGTAAGTACACCCACAATGATGTTAGGGATGGAGTTCCAGGTTTTTGACTCGGTGACAGTGCAGGAAAAATGATTTGATTCCAAGTTAGAGAGGTGAGTGTTTTGTACTTGCAGTTGGTGGTATTCCTGTGTATCAACTGTCCTTTTCTTCTAGATGATAGTGGGTTGAAAGATGCTAAGAATTCATTTTACTGGCATGAAATGCCCACCTGCTTAGACTGTAGATGTTTTACGTGTACTTGCGCTTTTTAAAATTATTATAGCCCTACACAATTGATTAAAGTTTCTCTATATTGTTGCCTTTTCTGTAGAAGTGTGTATTTCATATAAATGTAATAAGTTGAGATTTTGTTTTGACAGGTTAAAATTTCCGGTAACTTTTATTTATATATTTGCAGATTGTTCAAATCGGAGCAAAATTTATGTTTGTCTCTGGAATGTTCATTTCTGGCTGTTGTACTATCCTTTTTGGGTAAGTTATCCATTGGATTTTATTTGGCATTTACTTGCAGTTCAGTCTTTGGCATTTGAATGTGTAAGTTGATGTTCAGATTGTGGTGCTTTTCCATTTGTATACGACTGTGACAAACAACTTTTCAACAGTACTGATAATAATTTCAGTAAATTACATAATGGAAGGTGGTTGGAATGCAGTAACTAACATTGCCTTAGGGACAAGTTATTTAAAATTCAAGAATTAGAATTTTACCAGATTGTTGCTTTTTATTTGCAGTATTGAGAACGAAATCTATATGGTCATATATTTGCAAGGGGCAAAATTGCTGGTGTAAGTGTTGGTTCTTTGTGGTAGTTGTACACTAAAGCACCACAATCTGAACCCCAACTTACACATTCAACAGCCAAGGACTGGTTCTCAAAGATGGTAAAATAACTTTTCTACACTTATGTCCATGTACTAAATTTTAATGGCCCTAATTTAGCAGTGAGTGACACTTACTTTGCCAGCAATTACCCATTGGTTTTTTTTAAATTTGCTGGCTTTTAAATGGCAATCACTGCATGGTTGTCAGCTTACCAGAGAAAGAGAAGATTAGGAACAAAGGCAACCAAAAGTGTGTCTCTTCAACTAATCAAAAAGAAGATTTTTCAAAGATATAATTGTCAAAGAGGAGGTGTGATAAAGACTCACTAAATTAATTCCTGGGATAGAGGGATAGTCCCATGATGAGAAGTTAAATGGACTTGGCCTTTACTGTTAATGAGGCGTCATCTCATTCAAACACAACAAATCTTATGCAGGACTTTAACAGATCTATGGACATATCTACACAACACATACTATAGTAGCTCAAGAAGACAGTTTATCAGCACTGTCTTTTCATGAACAATTAGGGATGCCTGCATCATGCGAAAGAATAAAAAAATGGATTCTCAAGGGCAGAGCTTGATAAGCACAGATAACTCCGAGGAATGTGGGACAGGAGAGATTGCAGAGATACGGAGGTGGTGAGATCAAGGAGGGATTTGAAAATAAGGATAAGAATCTTAAAATCAAGCAGTTGCTTAATTGGGAGGTAGTATAGCAGAGGATTGATGAGAGACTGGGACTTGGTGCAAATAAGGACACAAGCAGCAGACTTTTAGATAACCTCAAATTTGCAGATGGTACAAATGCAGGTTGGTCAGGTATGCTTTGCAATAGCTAAGTTTGGACGTACCAAGGTCAGATGATGGTTTCAACAGAAGATGATTTGAGGCAGGAGTAGTGTTGGATGATATTACTGAAGTGCAAGTAGGTGATCATAGTGACAGCACAAAGGTGCAGTTGGAAGCTTACAAACAGGTTCAACCTTAGACACGCAGCTAGGGAACAGAGTTTGTGGAAGGACCGTAGAACCCCTACAGTACAGATGGAGGCCATTCGGCCCATCAAGTCTGCTCTACCTCTCCAAAGAGCATCCCAATTACCCTCCCACCCTATCCTTGTAATTCCAAACTCACCATGGCTGACCCACCTAGCCTGCATATCCTTGGACACTACAGGGCAATTCAGCATGGCCAATCCTCCTGACCTGCCTAAGTTTGGACTGTGGGAGGAAACTGGAGCACCTTAAGGAAACTCACGCAGACATGGGGAGAACATGCAAACTCCACACAGTCACCCGAGGCTGGAATCAAACACGTGTCACTGGCGCTGTGAGGCAACAAGGCAATAGTTTTTGACTTTCCAATATTTAGTGAAGGAAGTCTCCGTTTATTCAGTAATACTAGGCAAGTAGTCTGATTATTAAGCAACAGTAGAAGAGTCAAGTAAGATGGTGAAGAAGAAGACTAGAGACAATGTATTGCATTCTTTTTCTGAATTTGATGTCTTTTATTTCTATTCTCAGCCTATTGGATAAAGCTCCAGATGGACTTGTATTTATCGTTTTGTGTTTCGTCGTAAGATCAATGGATGCAATAGGGTTTTCTGGGTGCGTTACTGCATCATTTTCAATTCTTGCTGCAACATTCCCAAACAACATAGCCACGATAATGGTATGAATGAATTCAATTCTTTTAGTAATGTCACTAAGAGTTGAGTTTTAAGGAGGGTCTTAGGGCGGAAATATTGGGAGGGGATTCCAGAGCTTCAGGCCCAGGGTAACTGAACATGTGGTGCCTAGTGTTCGAATGAGTAAAATCATGGATGTGCAAGAGGCTAGAATTTTAGGAGCGCTTACATCTCCAGGATTATGGGGCTGGAGGAGATTACATAGATTGGGAGGGACAACGGCAATTTAAAAATAAGAAGGAGAATTTAAACACAAAACATTGTTTGCTTAAAAGTCATCGTAAGCTAGCTGGCACAAGTGGTGTTTGAGAATCGTACTGCTGTAACTTAAGACGTGGGCAACAGGGTTTGATTATGGAGATAGTAGGAACTGCCGATGCTGGAGAATCTGAAATAACCAGGTGTAGAGCTGGATGAATACAGCAGGCCAAGCAGCATCAGAGGAGCAGGAAAGCTGACATTTCGGGTCGAGACCCTTCTTCAGAAATGGGGGAGGGGAAGGGGATTCTGAAATAAATGGGGAGAGAGGGGGAGGCAGATAGAAGATGGATAGAGGAGAAGATAGGTGGAGGGGAGACAGACAGGTCAAAGAGGCAGGGATGGAGCCAGTAAAGGTGAGTGTAGGTGGGGAGTTAGGGAGCGGATAGGTCGGTCCAGGGAGGACAGATAGGTCAAGGAGGTAGGATGAAGTTAGTGGGTAGGAGATGGGGGTGGGGCTTGAGGTGGGAAGAATGGTTAGGGAGGCAGGGACGAGCTGGGCTGGTTTTGGATTGCGATTGGGGGAGGGGAGATTTTGAAGCTTGTGAAGTCCACATTGATACCCTTGGGCTGTAGGGTTCCCAAGCGAAATATGAGGTGCTGTTCCTGCAGCTTTCAGGTGGCATCGTTGTGGCAATGCAGGAGGCCCAGGATGGACATGTCGTCCAAGGAGTGGGAGGGGGAGTTGAAATGGTTTGCGACTGGGAGGTGTAGTTGTTTGTTGCAAACCGAGTGTAGGTGTTCCACAAAGCGGTCCCCAAGCCTCTGCTTGGTTTCCCTGATGTAGAGGAGGCCACAACGGGAACAGCGGATACAGTATACCACATTAGCAGATGTGCAGGTGAACATCTGTTTGATGTGGAAGGTCTTCTTAGGGCCTGGGATGGGGGTGAGGGGGGAGGTGTAGGGGCAGGTGTAGCACTTGCTGCGGTTGCAGGGAAAAGTGCCGAGGGTGGTGGGGCTGGTGGGGAGTATGGAGTGGAATCCAGGTGAATCACGGAGCGAGTGGTCCCTCCAGAAAGCAGATAAGGGTGGGGAGGGAAAAATGTCTTTGGTGGTGGGGTCAGATTGCAGATGGCGGAAGTGTCGGAGGATGATGTGTTGGATTTGGAGGTTGGTGGGGTGGTATGTAAGGATGAGGGGGATCCTGTTTTGGTTGTTATTGTGGGTAGCGGGTGTGAGCAATGAGTTGCGGGAAATGCGAGAGACACGGTCAAGGGCGTTTTCAACCCCTGTGGAGGGGAAGTTGCGATCCTTTAAAAACGAGGAAATCTGGGATGTCCGGGAGTGGAATGCCTCATCTCAGGAGCAGAGATGGTCCAAGTGAACTTAAGGTTAGGGTGGAAGGTGTTGAAGTGGATGAACTGTTCGAGCTCCTCGTGGGAGCACGAGGTGGCACCGATACAGTCATCGATGTAACGGAGGAAGAGGTGGGGTTTAGGGCCAGTGTAGCTTTGGAAGAGGGATTGTTCCACGTATCCTACAAAGAGGCAGGCATAGCTTGGGCCCATGTGGGTACCCATTGTCACCCCCTTTGTCTGTAGGAAGTGGGAGGAATTGAAAGAGAAGTTGTTAAGGGTGAGGACGAGTTCAGCTAAGCGGATGAGGGTGTCAGTGGAGGGGGACTGGTCGGGCCTGCGGGACAGGAAGAAGCGGAGGGCCTTTAGGCCATCTGCATGGGGAATGCAAGTGTAGAGGGACTGGACGTCCATGATGAAGATGAGGCGTTGGGGACCAGGGAATCGGAAGTTTTGGTGGAGGTGGAGGGCATGGGTGGTGTCACGGACGTAGGTGGGGAGTTCCTGGGCCAAGGGGAAAATAGATTTGAGATAAGTGGAGATGAGTTCGGTGGGGCAGGAGCAGGTGGAGACAATGGGTCGACCAGGGCAGTCAGGTTTGTGGATTTTGGAAAGGAGATAGAAACGGGTGGTGCGGGGTTGGGGAACGATGAGTTTAGAGGCTGTGGGTGGGAGGTCACCTGAAGTGATGAGGTTGTGAATGGTCTGGGAGATGATGGTTTGGTGGTCGGGGGTGGGATCATGATCAAGGGGGCGTAGGAGGAGGTGTCAGAGAGCTGGTGTGTGGCCTCAGCGATGTAGAGGTCAGTGCGCCATATTACAACTGCGCCTCCCTTGTCCGCGGGTTTTATGGTGGGGTTGGGATTGGAGCGGAGGGCTGCACGTTCTGCGGGGGAGAGGTTGGAGTGGGTGAGAGGGGTAAAGAGGTTGAGGCGATTGATGCCTCGACGGCAGTTCGAGACGAAGAGGTCGAGGGAGGGTAGGAGGCCTTGGGGTGGTGTCCAGGAAGACGGGGCGTGTTGGAGGCGGGAGAAGGGGTCAGTAGAGGGAGGGTTAGGCTCACGATTAAAGAAGTAAGCGCGGAGGCGGCAGAAAAACTGTTCAACGTCCAAACGTGAGTTGTATTCATCGATGTTTGGGTGGAGGGGGACAAAGGTGATCCCGTTACTGAGGACTGACCGTTCGTCGTCAGTAAGGGGGAGGTCTGGGGGGGATGGTGAAGATTCGGCAGGGGGGGATGGTGAAGATTCGGCAGGGCTGGATGCTGCTGTCTCCTCTGTAGCTGCTGGCTGTGGAGGTGGTGGGCGGCGTGACGTCAGCAGTGGGCGGAGCGACGTAGGCCGGTAAATCTTGGATGTTGGTGGCAACGGCGTCCTCGATGTCTGTGGTGTTGGCATCGGCAGCGGTGTCGATGGCATTGGCCGTACCTGAAGTAGCGTACTGGGCGGTTTGATTATCTTAAGTTTACGAAGGGTGGAGTGAAGGACACCAACGAGGAGTCTGTTGGAATAGTTAGGTTTAGAGGAAACCAAGGAATGAATGAGGTTTCCAGTGGCAGATGAGCTGGAACAGTGAACAGTGTTACAGAGATTAGAAGCTAATTTTGGGATCAAATGTGATGGCAAGGTAATGAATCGACTGGCTTAACTCCACACTGTTGCCAGGTAAAGGAACTGCAGCCATTGTTTTATGTTCACCATAATCTCTGTTCCCTAGCTACTGATTCCGTCTTCCCAGTGCTCTTTCTGATCCTTAGTTTGAGATCTCAGCTGATTTCAGTAAATGTGTCAATGCAACATGTGGCTACAAGACCATAAGTCAAAAAAGTAAGAATTAACCAGTTCCTATTCTTGATTTTTATCCAGCTATTCCTCCATCGTATAGTAGAATTGAATGTTAGAGAAGGACAAGATTTGCCTCCATTTTGATAATCCTACAAACAACTGTCTTGCCAATAATCATTCATGGATAATGCCCATTTTTTAAAATAGTGACGGTCTGTGGGACAGTGCCTTGCCATTTGAGAAGAGAGTGAAGAAACCTGGAAGAGAAAATCCTGTTAAAGTTGACCATACTTTGTAACAAAATAGTAAATGTAATTTATTTATGATTTTGTATTTCCAGCAAATAAATCACTAAAACACAAACTACAAATTTTTTTTTCAGGGACTTCTAGAAATATTCGCTGGGCTTGGTCTAGTAATGGGTCCACCTATTGGAGGTTTTCTGTACCAGATGTTTGGATATGAAGTTCCTTTCATTGCAGTAGGATGTATCGCTCTTTCAATGGTACCTTTGAACATGGGTATTTTACCAAATTATGGTAAAGCTCTACATTTGAACTTAACTGTAGAAGTATTGTTAAACTTTTATCAGAAACAAAAACAGAAATTGCTGGAAAAGCTCAGCAAATCTGGCAGCATTTGTGGAGAGAAATCAGAGTTAACGTTTCAGGTCAAGTGACCCTTCCTCAAAACTGATGATAGCTGGGAAAATGTCGGGTAGGGCGAGGGGGTAAGGAGTAAACAATAGGTGAAGATAGAGCCCAAAGAGAGAAAAAAACGGTTGGACAGACGAAGGAGTGGATAATGATCCGGCTATGAGGGTAAATAGCTATTTGCAGACTGATGGTGTTTAACAATGGGAGACTGTGATAACAAGGCACTTTTATGGGGTTTGAGGTAAGGATGTGGGAGAGCTCGAGCCCTAAAATTGTTGAACTCCATATTGAGTCCAGAAGGCTGCAAGTGTCCCCAAGCGGAAAATGAGGTGTTATTCTTCCAACTTGCGCTGTGCTTCATTGGAGCACTGCAACAAGCCTGAGATAGAGATGTTGGCCAAGGTACAGCGTGGTGTGTTAAAGTGGCAGGCAACTGGAAGCTTAGAATGTTTCTTTTCTCTTTTGCAGACAGAACATAGGTGTTCTGTGAAGCGGTCACTTAGTCTACGCTTTGTTTCACCCATGTGGAGGAGACCCCACATTGTGAGAAGCGAATGCAGTAGACTACATTGTGTGAAGTGAAGGTAAAGTGCTGCTTCACCTGGAAGGTATGTTTGGGCCCTTGGATACTGAGGAGGGAGGAAGTAAATGGACAGGTGTTACACCAGTGGTTACAGGCACAGGTGCCATGGGGCTGTAGGGTGGCATATTGGGAGTGAAGGAAGAGTGGTCCAGGGTGTCTGGGAGGGAACGGTCCCTGCAGGAGGTGGACAGGGGAGGGGAGGGGTATATGTGTCTGTTGGTGACATCTCATTGGAGGTAGGGGAAATGGCGGCTAATGATCCTCTGGATGTGGATGCTGGTGGAATGGTAGGTAAGGACAAGGGGAACCCTATTGCTGTTACAAGAAGGAGGAGAGGGCGGGAGATGGGTCGGATCCAGCTAAAGATGGACAATGGTGCTGGGGAATCCTCGGCTGAGAAAGAAGTTGGCTATTTCAGAGGCTCCCTTGTCGAAGTTGGCATCATCAGAAAAGATTCTTGTTAAACTTTATGTTGGATGGCTGCCATAGACAAGTATCTTAATGTCTTTTTGTCCAATTAATTGTGGTATTTGGAAATTTCTTGGAAATTGTAAGGTAATAATTGCTATTTTTTTTTTTTTGTTCAAAAATGACTGTAATTCACTTAATAGCTCAGCTGTTAAGACTGTAAATAATTGAGTTAAATAAATCAGGACCTGAATAGCGAGTTGATCTCAACTGGCCATCAAAGCTGAATTGAGTCCTTGAATTTGGGGAAAATTTAGACTTGGTTTTTGTACCTGATTATTTTCAAGTTATGCTATATAGATGTAAGGTGAGAACAGGACTGGACTTGGCTGTGGCACTTCATGTGGTCAAAATGTCTGCTGAAGCTCTGCCTGAGTACTCAAACAATGCATGGCCAGTTAAGCAAATTATTGGAAGTTGTTCAATGCCATTAAAGCCTTGTCCAGCAAATGGTGAAGTCCTTCAGGATGGAATGGGTGAATATTACCAGAAATAGTCAAGTGGAGAAAGCCAGAGATTAATTGCAAATCAAACAGGTGAAAATCTGAATTCACCATGTATGGAATTGATGTGACATGAAAGAATATTTGGTTTGGTTATGGTGGTCAGCAAATATTCGATGTAGCTTCACTCTTTTCTCCTTTGCACATATCTGAAAAGGTAATGCACAAGGTATCCAGAGGGTAAATTTTGAAATTATTCTTACAAGGGAGTAAACCAGCCAGTAGGGGATTAGGGTGTAATAATATTTTGAACTGTGAGCAGGTCTGAGCATTCTTCTGTTCTGAGAAATCTGCTGATGCCAATGTTATTTAGATATCAGTGCAAATGCAAAAATTTACAAGCATTGACTATGGTCTCTGAGAAGTAAAGAAGGTAAAAAATCAAAAATTTAGCAGCTAAATAAATGAAATTCATTCTTTTTTTTATATTTGCCATTAGGTTGTTCAGGTAGGTCAAGGGATAATCATTTAAATTTTGTTACTACAAAACAAAGTACAGTGGATGCTGGAGATCTGAAACGAAAACAGAAATTGCTGGCGAATTAAGCAGATTTGGCAGCATCTGTGGGAAGAAAGCAGAATTAATGTTTCAAGTCCAGTGTCTTTTCATCAGTTCTGATGAAGACACCAGTGAGACCTTGGAGTGCAGGTTTATAGTTCCTTGAAAGCAGAGTAGCAGGTAGATAGGATAGTGAAGAAGGCATTTGGTATGTTTACCTTTACTAGTCAGTACATTTAGTACACGAGTTGGGAAGTCATGTTACGCCTGTACAGGACAGCAGTTAGGCCCCTATTGGAATACTGCGGTGCAATTCTGGTCTCCTTGCTGTAGGAAGGATGTTGTGAAACTTGAAAGGGTTCAGAAAAGATTTACAAGGATGTTGCCAGAGTTGGAGGGTTTGAGCTATAGGGAGAGGTTGAATAGACTGGGGCTATTTTCCCTGGAGTGTCGGAGGCTGAGTGGTGATCCTATAGAGATTTATAAAATCATGAGGGGCATGGATAGGGTAAATGGCCAATGTCTTTTCCCCAGGGTCGTGGAGTCTGAAATTAGAGGGCTTAAGTTTAAGGTGAGAGGGGAAAGATTCAAAGAGGCAACTTTTTCATGCAGAGGGTGGTGCTTGTATGGAATGAGTTGCCAGAGGAAGTGGTGGAGGCTGGTATAATTATAACATTTAAAAGGCATCTGGATGGCTGGATAGATAAGAAGAGTTTAGAGGGCTATGGGCCAAATGCTGGCAAATGGGACTAGGTTTATTTCCGATATCTAATTGGCATGGACAATTCGGACTGAAGGGTCTGTTTCCATGCTGTATATCTCCATGACTGTTTGATTGAAACTTTAACTAAATTTTGTTATTGCTGCTTTTAATTTGAAAGGCAAATAGAATCATGCAGCACAGAAATAGACCCTTTGGTCCGACTCCTCCATGCTGACCAAGTTTCCCAAATTAAACTAGTCCCATTTGCCTGCATTTGGCCCATATCCTTCTAAACTTTCCCTATTCAGGTACCCGTCCAAGTATCTTTTAAATATTTAATCTGTATCTGTACCTGTGCGTACCACTTTCTCTGGCAGTTTATTCCACTTACAAACCACTCTCTGTGAGAAACAGTTGCCCCTCAGGTCTCTTAAATTTTTTCTCCTCTCCCCTTAAAAATATACCGTCTAGTTTTGAACTCCCCCAGCCCTTGAGAAAGGACATTTGCTATTGACCTTATCTATGCCCTCAGGATTTTATGAACTTCAATGAGGTCATCCTTCAACCTCCTACGCTCCAGAGAAAAAGTCCCAGTCTATCCAGCCTCTCCTTCTAACTTAAACCTTCCATTCCTAGCTACATCCTGGTAAATCTTTTCTGAACCATCTCTAATAATATCATTACAATAGCAGGGCAACCAGAACTGTACACAGTATTCCAAACGTGGCATCATCAACGTCTTGTACAGCCTCAACATGACATCATAACTTCTATAAAATCTAAAAGAACTGCGGATGCTGTTAATCAGGAACAAAAACAGAAGCCGTTGGAAAAGCTGAGCAGATCTGGCAGCATCTGTGGAGAAAAAAAATCAGAACATTTTGGGTCTGGTGACCCTTTCTCAGAAATATGTTGATCAAAGTTGTTGTTTTTCAGGTGGAATTGCCAGCAGTGTGTCATTTTGGAAACTACTTGCAATCCCCAAAGTAACACTTGTGTGCCTGATTGTATTTTCTGTAAGTTCTTGTATTGGCTTTCTGGATCCGACCATACCGCTGTTTCTAACTCAGAAGGTAAGAATTCCTGTCTTTGAATTTCTTCATTTTTTATTGTTTGTGTTTGCTTAAGTTCACTATACTTGAAAGTGGAGAAACGAGTGGCCAATTCCTTCCTGCCCAGCCCAGATCTAACTTGCATATTCTGGCGGGTAGTTAAGGTGTCCAGTAGCCCATCTACCATCTATCTTGAGGCCGATAAGTAACCAAGTTAGTGGCTGTTTATGCAATCAAATTCTGTCTCCGTGTGCACAATAAAACATGAAGCAGGTAAAAGCAGAAGTAAGGTGCACAACTTAGAATGAACACAGCAGGCCAAGCAGCATCATAGGAGCAGAGAGGCTGACGTTTCGGGCCTAGACCCTTCATCAGAAAAGGGGGAGGGGAAGGGGGTTTTGAAATAAATAAGGAGAGAGTGGGAGGCGGATAGAAGAGGGATAGAGGAGAGGATAGGTGGAGAGGAAACAAACAGGTCGAAGAGGCGGGGATGGAGCCAGTAAAGGTGAGTGTAGGTAGGGAGTTAGGAAGGGGATAGGTCAGTCCAGGGAGGACGGACAGGTCAAGGGGGCGGGATGAGGTTGGTCGGTAGGAGATGGAGGTGCAGCTTGAGGTGGGAGGAAGAACAGGTTAGGGAGGCAGGGACGAGCTGGACTGGTTTTGGGATGCGGTAGGGGGAGGGGAGATTTTGAAACTTGTGAAATCCACATTGATACCATTGGGCTGCAGGGTTCCCAAGCGGAATATGAGTTGCTGTTCCTGCAACCTTCGGGTGGCATCGTTGTGGCACTGCAGGAGGCCCAGGATGGACATGTCGTCTGAGGAATGGGAGGGGGAGTTGAAATGGTTCGCGACTGGGAGGTGCAGTTGTTTATTGCGAACCGAGCGTAGGTGTTCTGCAAAGCGGTCCCCGAGTCTCCGCTTGGTTTCCCCGATGTAGAGGAAGCCACACCGGGTACAGCGGATGCAGTATACCACATTGGCAGATGCGCAGGTGAACATCTGCTTGATGTGGAAAGTCTTCTTGGGGCCTGGGATGGGGGTGAGGGAGGAGGTATGGGGGCAGGTGTAGCACTTCCTGCGGTTGCATGGAAAAGTGCCGGGTGTGGTGGAGCTGGAGGGGAGTGTGGAGCGGACAAGGGAGTCACGGAGAGAGTTGTCCCTCCGGAAAGCAGATAAGGGTGGGGAGGGAAAGATGTCTTTGGTGGTGGGGTCGGATTGCAGATGGCGGAAGTGTCGGAGGATGATGCGTTGGATCCGGAGGTTGGTGGGGTGGTACGTGAGGACGAGGGGGATTCTTTTTTGGTTCTTATTGCGTGGACGGGGTGTGAGGGATGAGGTGCAGGAGATGTGGGAGACACGGTTGAGGGCGTTCTCGACCACCGAGGAAGGGAAGTTACGGTCCTTGAAAAACGAGGACAACTGAGATGTACGGGAGTGAAGTTTCAAAATCTCCCCTCCCCCTACCGCATCCCAAAACCAGTCCAGCTCGTCCCTGCCTCCCTAACCTGTTCTTCCTCTCACCTATCCCCTCCTCCCACCTCAAGCCGCACCTCCATCTCCTACCGACCAACCTCATCCCGCCCCCTTGACCTGTCCGTCCTCCCTGGACTGACCTATCCCCTTCCTAACTCCCTACCTACACTCACCTTTACTGGCTCCATCCCCGCCTCTTCGACCTGTTTGTTTCCTCTCCACCTATCCTCTCCTCTATCCCTCTTCTATCCGCCTCCCACTCTCTCCCTATTTATTTCAAAACCCCCTTCCCCTCCCCCTTTTCTGATGAAGGGTCTAGGCCCGAAACGTCAGCCTCTCTGCTCCTATGATGCTGCTTGGCCTGCTGTGTTCATCCAGCCCTGCACCTTGTTGTCTCGGATTCTCCAGCATCTGCAGTTCCTACTATCTCTGCACAACTTGGAGTGTTTTCTTTGGGAAGGATCCCCCTCTGGTTCAGTGGAAGTACCCCTTCAATACCAAGTCTCTAACCCACATGAATATTGCACCCCCCCACGACTCCCTTATGAACCATAAACACAGCCACAATCAAGTGGGTCGACAGACCTTGTTTCTATGCTCTAAATTCTACCCTGGCCGAGAATGGTCTCGAGGGGCTGAAATTCTCATTTTATTATGTTTTAATAATTAGGTGAGGGTATCATCAAAATGTGAACCTTCAAATAGTAGTGTATCAGTGGTTTGGTACATTTAACTAAATGGCCTTACAGTAGTTATGAATATTAATAGAAACCTTACAGCATCCAACATGCAATGTAATATTCTGCTAATGTGTACCATTGGATTTTATAAATGTAACACCAGAAATCAAATAGAAGTCAGGTTTTTTGAGGATGGATTATTTTACAGTACGTAAGAGTGACATGTCGTAATATGATTAATATTTTTTAAAAATTATTTTGACTGCTGGATTAAACCCCACTGAATGCTCCTTGAGTTATGATTTGATCAGTGTTGAATATAGAGTCTTTTGTTTATTCTCCAGTTCAACTTGCACTCTGGATATATAGGACTAGTATTTCTAGGATTCGCTGTGTCATATGCTCTGTCCTCTCCATTACTTGGATATTTAAGTGATAATCTACCAGTAAGTATGCAGAATAGGTTGGATGTCTTTCGTGTTTTGAAACTTTTATTTCCTAAATGCAGATTCATTATCCATCATAATAAATTCCCCCCTCTGTTCTATTGATTTTGTTGGTGTTTAGACAATTTTGATTTTTAATACTTTGATTTACAGCATTTATTCAAATCAATCATTTCAGCTTATGAATGTGCATATGACAGTTTACATCTTATTTCAAAGTTTGCTTATAATATCATTTCTATAAATAAAATAAACATGATTTAAAGATTGAGCCACAGCTGAAATCTAAGGATCGTGGGTTCACTCTCATTCCCTAGGATTGAGTACAAAAAGGAAGACTGACACTGCAGTGCAGCACAGCCCAATCTGCCCTCTGAGGTGTAAGTTGAAGAAAAAGCTAATTTGATTGGGGGGAAAAAAAAAAGTTTTCCATATTCTCCTGGCCAATATTTACCTCTGAGCCAACATCTCTCAAAAACAGATTATCCAGCCATTATCTTATTGCGGGTTGTGGGAATATACCATATGTAAATTGGCTGCTGTGTTTAATACAATATGATGGTGATTACACTACAATGAAATCTCATTGCCTTGAAAACATTTTGGAATTACTGTAGCCATGAATGTAAATGAAATTGAACATTTAATGTCACTAAACTGCTTGCTTTTTTTTTTGTCAAAGCCAGGGCTCAGGAGTTGGACACTAAAAGGAAGTGAATGGGGTAATCAAAGCTACTGTGAATGCAAGGGTCAGGGAGGAAAGTGGGTGAGCAAGAGGGACAGGAAGTGGGTGGGTCATGGAACAGGAGGTTGGGCGAAGCATGAGAGGTAGGGGAGCAGGGGGTCAGAGATGAGATGAGAGGGAGGGCTGGGGAGCAGGAGAAGTCACTCCAAATTGTGCTATTTGGGTCAGGCTAAATTATGTTAGTTTAATGGTTTCTTAAAAAATTCTGGTCTTTTTTTGGCACCAGAAACAACAATGGTAAAAACAGCTAGTTGAGCTCTGAAGGATATTGCTGCTAGACAGATTGTGTGACAATTGAGGGAATCAACAAGAGGGAAAAACTCATTTGATTCCATCCTCGGCAATCTGCCTGCCACACATGCAACTGTCCAGTACTGGTAAGAGCGACCACAACACAGTCCTTGTGGAGGTAAGTCCCACTTTTACATTGATAATGCCTTACATTGTGTTGTGTAGCATTATCTCTGTGCTGAATGGGTCAGACTTTGATCAAAGCTCGTAACTCAAGACTGGGCATTCATGAGACATTGTGGGCCATCAATTGCAACAGAATTGTACTCCAACACAATCTGCAATCATGCCCGGCAAATGCCCCACTCAACCATTACCACCAAGCCAAGGGACCAATCCTGGTTTAATGAAGCGTGCAGGAGGACATGCTAAGAGTAGCATACGTAAGCAGTCGTACCTATAAATGAGATGTCAACCTGGTGAAGCTACAAAACAGGACTACTTGGCAAGCTGAACAGAGTTAGCAGCAAGTGAGAGAACAAACTCACTGGAGGATGAGGTTCCACAAACATCCTGGTCGTCAGTGATGGGGGAGCCCAGCACATTAGTGCAATACACAAGGTTGAATCATTCAAAACAATCCAGGAGTGCTGAGTGGATGACCCATTTTGGCCTCCTCCAGAGATCCCAACATCTCAGATGCCAGTCTTTAGCCATTTCAATTTGCATGATATCAAGAAACGGTTGGAGACGCTGGATACTGCAAAGCCTACGGGCCTGAAAACATTCCGGCAATAGTACCAAGGACTTGTGCTCCAGAATTTGCTGCACTCCAAGTCAATCTACAACACTGGCTTCTACTCAGTAATGTGGAAAATTGACCAGGTATGTCCTAGACACAAATAAGCAGGACAAATTTAATCTGGCCAATTACCACTCCATCAGCCTATTCCTGATCTTCAGTAAAGCATTCATCAGTAACACGCCTACCCAGTGACGCCCAGCTTGGGTTCCACCAGGATTACATAGCTCCTGACCTCAGTAGAGTCTTGGTTCAGACATGGAATTTCAGAGGTGAGGTGAGAGTGACTGCACTTGACATTGAGGCCATATTTGACTGAGTGTGGCAGCAAGTTGCCCCAGCAAAACTGGAGTCATTAGAATCAGGAGAAAATCTCTTTGAATTTAGGAAAAACTCTCCGCTGGTTGGAGTCATACATGGCACAAAGGAAAATGGTTGTGATTGTTGGAGGTCAGCCATCTCAGCTCCAGGGCATTTTGGGAGTTCCTCTGGGTAGTGTCCTGAGCCCAGTTGTCTTCAGCTGTTTCATCACGTCGTTCCCTCACATCATGAGGTCATAAGTGGGGATATTTGTCAATGATTGCACCATTCACAACTCCTCAGATTCTGAAACTGTTCATGCCCAAACGCAGCAAGATCTGTACAATATTCAGGCTTGGGCTGAAAAATGGAAGTAACATTCATGCTACACAAATGCCAGGCAGTGACCATCTCCATTGGGAGACAATCTAACCATTGCCCTTTGACATTCAGCTGCATTACCATCGCTGAATTCAACCCCCCGACCCCCGCAATAAACATCCTGGGGCTTTTCTATTGACAAGGAACTGAACTGGATCAGCATATAAATACTGTGGCTACAAGAGTAGGTCAGAAGACAGAAATCCTGTGGCAGGTAACTGACCTCCTGACTCCCCAAAAGCCTGACCTTCAACTACGAGGCACAAATCAGTAGTATCATGGAGTGTTCCCCCCTTGCCTGGATGAGCATAGCTCCAACAACACCAAGAAGCTTGGCACTATCTAGGACAAAGCAGCCCACTTTGGCACCACATCCACTCTCTCCACTGATGACACTCCGCAGTGGTGTGTACTGTTGTCAAGATGCACTGAAAAGACTCACCAAATCTCCTTAAACAGTATTCATGACCACTACCATCTATAATGTCAAGGACAGCTGATACTTAGGAACACTACCACCTGCATGTTTCCCTCAAGGTCACGCACCATTCTGACTTGGAAATATAGCGCCATTCCTTTAACTGTTGCTGGGTCAAAATTCTGAAATTCCCTCCCTGTCAGTGTTGAGAGTGTACCTACAGCAAGGACTGCAGCAGTTCAGCTAGGCAGCTTGCCAACACCTTCAAGGGCAACTAGGATTGGCAATAAATGCTGGCTAAGCCCAGAATGCTCACACCCATAAGTGAATGAAAAAATTTAGAAAACAAGAAGACACTCTGTGTACCTTCATCTTGCTGAGTTAACTCCGCCTCATTACCGTCACACAGATCTTCCTGGAGGTTTTGCTTTGCCTAGTTAATGTTCTCAATTACAAAATAAGAGCATACATCTCACTGACTAGGTTCCAGGCCAATCTACATCCAGCAACGTACTCTGAAATCTCTGTTCATATTTTGAGAGCTGCGACAAATTCTCCCACCGCAGTTGAGGCATCCAAAATATTTTACAATAATCAATAACGTTCTAAATAAAACAGCCCCCACATTCTTCACCAAATGTCAACCCACCTCATCTACCTTTTATAAAATTCCTGGAACAAAAACAGAAGTTGCTCACAAAGCTCAGCAGGGCTGGCAGGATGTGTGACAAGAAGTCAGAGTTCCAGTGACCCTTCGTCAGAACTGATGGTAGCTGGGAAAATGTTTGTTTTTATGCAGAAGATAGGGTGGGTGGAGGGGGTAAGGAGTAAATGATAGGTGGAGATAGAGCCCAAAGAGAGAGAAGCACATTTGGAGAAAGGAGTGGATAATAATAATTAGGCTAGAGGGGTTAACAGCTGTAAATGGGGACTGTTATTGGCTAACAATGGGTTGTGTTTAATAGCACACCATGTGATAACAAGGCCAGATGTGTGGGGATTGGGGTAAAGACATGGGAAAACGGAAGCCCAAAAATTGTTGAACTAAGTATCGAGTCCAGAGGGCTGTAGAGTTCCCAAGGGGGAAATGAGGTGCTATTCTATCAGCTTGAGTTGAGCTTTGCTGGAGCTCTGCAGCAAGCCTGAGACAGATGTTGGCAACATAAAATTCTAGAATCTGGATTCAAATCTAACTGTGTACCAAGCCTCATTGCGATCTGTCC